TGTTGATAATTATTTTTTCATTTTAATAAATACTCCAAAAAAGTATTTTATAGTAATTGGTATTTGACATCAAAATTAGGAAAAGGATTGCATGATACTATGATGCACAATATTTGTAAAGATGCTAAACTAGATTTTAAAAGTTGTTGTATCACTAATCATTCTATGTAATTTACAAATATTCATCATTGTGTAGAATTGGATGTTATATTGGATGAACAAATGATCTTTTTTCAATATAAAACTATTACCAAAATTTTAGCTTATCAGCATCAATCATTAAAATATAAACAAGATAATGTTTCTCTTTTAATTCTGATTGAAAAAGCAGGTAATATAGTATTATATATAGTATATAATACTATTTATTTATAAATTAAACAGAATTATTTTTTTTAGAACTAGTTTCTCATATAGTATTAAATAATTCAACTACTAGTTATATTAACAAAAAATTTTTTAAGGCATCTGATTTACTTTCTAATGAATTTAATGAAATTAATTCTGAAGCTAATACTAATAATGAACTCAAAACTAACATTAATAATAAATCTGAAGCTAAAAATGATAATAAAGTCGATTCTGACATAAAGTATAAAAAAGAAAAAATTTCTAATATTACGATCAAAAATTTAGTAATATAAATATTAATATTAGTTTAATGCCATTATTTAATTATTATATAATTAATGTTTAATTATATATGAAATTGTAATTTAATCAAAATTAAATACATTCATAATCATAATTTCTGCTTTGTTTATAACAATTTAATTAATTGCACAGTTTATAATAATTTGCTCAGCTTTACTATTTTAATAATTTCAACACTTATAAAGATTTCTAATTGCAAAGAATTATAAAATTTTCAGTTATTTATAATGAGACCGGGAATCTTCTGTAAAAAGATTCTTGAGCACAATATGATCATTATAAATATTAATGAAAAATTATGATGAAGGTAGTCATGAGTGACACTTAGTGCGATAGGAGATTACTTTTATATATTTGATATCCAAATTAGAAGAATATCTTGGAAATATCATAGTGTTGAAATTTATATTTGAATAAAAAAAAATACTAAAAAGTGAAATAAACAAATTAGAGAAATACTTTTTAAATTTAGAATCTTGTAAAACTATAATATTTTTTGGCTATTCTTTTTTTTTTTTTTGGCATATTCTGCTACTGTTTTATTAAGATAGTAATCAAGCAAAAATTATAAGAATTTTTAACTATAGTTAATCCTTCTTTAACCACAACAAGTAACTCACTTGGGTTAAAACCTAGGTGCAACATTGCCTAGTGATTGTTTACTTCCTTCCAGGTCCCTAACTTCCTAGAGGCATAAATCCTCAAT